ATATATATATATATATATATATATATATATATATATATATATATATATATATATATATATATATATATATATATATATATGTAACGGTTATTAACATACATATATCTATATATATGTCATATATATGTGACATATATATAATGACTACTAGTATCAAGCAACGCATACACGTCTGGATATGTTAGATTGTATAGTTGGCATATGTGATATTCAAAATTGTAATGTGAGTCCGCAAAGTTTTCTGCCACCAAATATACCAGTATATTGTGAAACCGCAACAAAGAGAATGTACAAATTTTGTGACAGAACTTTGGACTCACTTTGTATAAGCATTGTTCATAAATTGAATAATTGACCGACACACTATCGATGACATCAGGTCACTTGGATATATTGGTATACGATTGATGATCGAAGTAATCCGTCTATATGAGTAATAATCATAAATATTGACGTACAATAACTGCTCTGCGGATGTTGATATTGTACTAATTGTGCTACAGCGACGTAATTATATATTTTATTTATTTACATGTGTCTCAGAGTTGGTTTCACCTACATTGATTTTGATTAGATTCGGGGGGAAGAAAAATAATAAAAAGTTAATTAAATTAGACACAAAAAGGATAGGTGAAACTAGCTTTTACAGCGTGACCGATACTTGCAAAAGGAAACACAAATAAGAGAAGAAGCGATTTTTGATTGTACTCTTACCGTAGACTAATACGTTCACTTTATTGTTACACTTTTTATACATCTATAGCAGCTTATGATATGAAACAGAAAGGAAACAGCAAACACAGCATCTTGAGAAAATGAATCACCGACTATGTGCAATTTCGATACCCAAAAATATCAACCGATTTATATCGTTCGTCATTCTTGAAGATCCACGGGAACAAAGATCACCTGCGAATTTCAAATACGACGATAGTCAATTAATTAATGCGTTAGAAATTAATTCTATCAAAGGGCAAAATAATATTAATTGGAAACCATTGCTTGCCAAGAAATGTTCCCGTAAACTCTTAAATTAAATAGAAATTAAATAGATACTTCTTATCTCGCGACGAGAGTGATATAGTATTAGTTACCTGTGTAGTATTATTTAAAACTAGAACAAGTACAGTATGTTTTTTTGTTAACGATATATATATATATATATATATATATATATATATATATATATATATATATATATAAAAGAAGTTTTAATTACCGCTCGAATAAGCGATACGTACATAATCGCGCACGGATAATACCGGAGTACAAATCCACTCAGGGAAGCTTATCGTAAAAATATCCGTGTTTTTCCTCTTTTCACATTATTTTCCTCATAATTAGTTTCCGTTTTAGATTCCTTTTAGCAGAAAATATCCAATTCTTGTAATGCTATTGAAAAAATACTTATCCCTATAACAAATATATACTTGACTCTGTAGCGGAAGCTGGACATAATCTGTAAAAAGAGAAAAAAGAAATTATTTCAAAATATTTTTGGTTAGTCTATTAAAAATTTCTACTTGTGCCATATTTAGTCCTTTTAAAATCGGATCCGAAAATCCTCTAAAACAGAGCTCAGCACAAACTAACAGTGGATAGCTATTAGAGATATATGTTCACAAGTCATACGTTTCTGAGGTTGCGTTTCGAAAGTCACTGCCAATATTGAAATTCTATATTATACGTAAGATGAACCATATTTCAGTATTGACAGTGAATTTCGAAATGCAGTCTGAATCTCGAGCGGTTTGTAATGATAAGATAAAGGAAATAATATTAAACGCAGTGCTAGGAGCAAATAGCAAGTCAGTCGAAGTATGCAACATGTGCCGAGCTCTGCTTTAAAGGATAGGCGCCTTTCTTTCAATCTCACTTCATTATTTTGGCTCGATATTCGCTCGTAAGTGTATATATTGATCTCATTAGAAAAAAAATTTACATTTTTTACGCATTTTAGGATGAGTTTTACTACAATATTGATATACATAAACCATTAGATAATGTCTAAAACTGTGAAGTCATGTCATTATCTTATCAACTGTCTTATCACTCACTGAAAAATAACTCAATTAGTGCTATTCATTGTAAATTAACGTTCTAACAGAATAGAAGTAGACGAAATATTTTCTTTACGAAACGAATCAATTAAAGTTGAATATTATTATTAATATTTTATACAGAGATTTCAAGATAAGTAATTATACATTAGATATTTCTTGCAATTTATTAATACGTAATAAACAGCAGATAAATATATATTTTTTTCCTATAATTTTATAAAATTTTATGTATTTAAATATGTGTAAATGAATAACTTTTTATTTGCTCACGAAATATATATTTTTCGTTTTTCTTATGTTCTCTGAATTTTATTTTTTAAGAAACATTTAAAATATCATTTTGAATCACATGTTGCCTCACAATTGTCTTACAAAAGTAAATTATTGTTAAGAACCAACGACGAGGCATAGATTCGCTTAACTATTACAAAAATAAATTTTGTTTTTTAGCGAGAATTGGTCAAAGAATTTCTACTTGCGAAAATTCCCCAAGTAAATTAAAGGTTATGATAAAAATCCAATGTTTAGAAAACTAATAGAGCTAATACGTTGAGATTTATGTCGATCTATGATCTAAACGTTACATATATCTTTGAAACTAACTTATCTTTTTAACGCTATATTGTAATCGCTTTTTTTTTGGTGCTATAAAATGCGATATTATAAAACGCTATGTTTGAAATATTCTTATCTATACAACATAAATCACTAAGAAAATTTTAAAGACGTCTGAACAATGTTTTATTTGTTTTAGACAATTTAGGATGTCTCAATACGAACATTTCTCAATACGTGGACAAAATATGAGCAAATTCTGCTAGTAAAAGCGTAATTGCAAATTCACAGCGAATGTACTGCAAGTAATTATGCAATTACTTGCAGCGTATTTAATGCAAACTTACTTACTCAGATAGCACAGAGAATTCAAAAAGAATTCAGTCGTATGTCACCAATTCTGAGCTCATTTTTAGGTGCAAAAAGAATTCTTTTCACTGAATTGAATTCTGAAGAATTCTTTTTGTATATGAAAGTGTTCTCTTAGAATTGATGACATACGATTGATGACATACGAATTTTTTAAAAATTCTTTTTGAATTCTCTGTGCTATCTGAGTATTTATTAGCAAAATTGCTCGCATGTTGCGCACGTATTATGATAGGACAAATCACCTTTTTTTTTACATGCTTTAATTGTTTGATTTGATAGTAACTTGCCAGTAAAATTTAAAACGTTTTGTTCTCTGGAAACATACACTCCTGTCTCTCATTAACATAATAATGTGTGTGTTATTTCGATATTATTCCTTTTCTTTACATATTCTCTTCTTAAAAAAAGATTTATTGTTCTTTATTGCTACTGTTTAGTGTTCTTATGTTGCTTTTGTCGCACAAACTTATATTTTTTTTACATGTTTCTTTTTCTTATATTTTTTCATTTAATTATAATTATACAATATATTGAAAAAAATTTGTTTCTTGTATGTAGGAAAAAGCAAACAGGTATAAACATCATTTTTCGAGGACTTTCGAAAATTTTCGCAAATTAATAAAAGAAAATATCGTTGAATGTATTACAAAATTCACTAAGGATCATATCTTAATGCTTCTAACTATACTATTTTCTCCGACAGACACGTGTATTCGATATTCAATATTTGATTTCTTTATTTTTTGAAGTAGTTTTTTATTAAGTATTTTTATTGTTAGGTAAAGATAGAGGTATTGTTATTGTAGAGGTATTTTTTGTTACCATATTTATCATATAATATAATTCTATTTAAATTTCAATAACATTTGTTGCAATAACGTTCAATGTAAAACTGTAAACAGAATCGACATAATAACATAATATCTCGGTATCATACGATAGTCTCGGTATCATTCGCACACACAACCATTTAAACGATACTGCCACTAACTTGTTCAAGAAATTCTGTAGTGGGAATGGTAATCGTAATTGCAATAGTTATAAGTGTCTTTGCAATAGATTTAAACTTAGTAGGATCTCATCAGCTGTAACATACGCATCTACTTGACTCCTGAAACCACTGCACGAACTCATTAACATCATGACTTGTCATGAGGTAAGTCATAAAAGTAGATTTGTAAACTAGTAGCTTTCAAGATATCGAAAGATAACCTTTATTTTAAATAAATACGTTGAAAAAAGTGCTGTTGTAGCAAGAATACGTGTAAATCTCGTTACAATATATAGATAATTGAAAAGATAGATGGGTGTATTTAATCTAATTTAACCTAATCTAATTAAGTTATATAAGCGATAAGCGAAGTTATATAATATAAGTTATATAATTAGGTTATAATAGCTACAGTCTCTAGTAGGTATGCTAGAAGCTATGCAACCGAAGTTATAGCAACAGTAGCTAAAGTTTTAGTTATAGCAGTAAATACATTTTCTGTAAATTATGATTAGCTGCAGCAATGAAATATTACTCCTCGTACTGCCGTTTTGACTGAACTTTGATATTTATCTATCTGTACTGAAAACTACTTGACATTTACTATCTATATTGAAAACATCTACAGTATACCTGACATAAACTATAGATTCTCGCTGCTAACAACGAAGATCGGAACGCAGATCTTGATTATGATATGCTCTGTTTTGTTATTGACAACAGAAATACTGTATATTCATGAACTATTCAAAAGATAATGTCCCTATATGAAATATTTTACACACAGATATATGAATTTTATAAATCACGCTCGTTCCTCGCTTCGTACGTTCACTTGACACGAGACGCGATAGCATTTCGTAAGACTTATTTATAATCAGTAAGATTCTTAAGAGAAAGATATTAAGTATCAGTTTTGTATAATAGCTTTGTTAACAAATAATAATAAACAGCTTTATGGTTACTTTTAGGAGACTAAGTCATCATTTAAAATAGAAGATAATGTTTTGATAGGCGAAGAGGAAAAAATCGAGAGTAATTGTTCAAATCTCGCAGAATTATTTCTGAATGCATTTGATGCAAAGCCGGATCTTATTGGACAGGTAAAATATCAACGATCAAATTTGTTTAACTTATGTATTTACGTATATCTAATGGAAATAACAATATATAAATATATCTTTTGTTCTTGATTTGGCTTTTTGACTAATATTGGGTCTTTTATGGATTAACGTTTCCGATGTTTCGTGAACATTCTCCAGTTCTTTTGGGGGAGGAACAACTTGAAACAGTTTTAGTGAAATGAGATGTTCACGAAACGTTGGAAAGAAATCCATGACAGATGCGGCACGAACCTGTAAATCAGATTAAACCTTTCATCATACCGTAGGGAGAAATCTAAAATATACTTTTTATTATTTT